AATTTCATGAGATAATCTCTGCTCCAAAGAAACTCTCAATGCCTCATTACTATCGGACATGAAATCATCGAACTGATTAGCCCACCTAAAAAAGTCACAGTTCTCTGATTTATTTCTTGGACACCTGTAAAATTGCCTCATAGCTATGCTCCTATCACGAAATAAACAAAGAAAACTGCAGTTCACAACAGCAATGCAATTTTCTAGAGGCATCAGAAGACCTCAAGCTCAACTTTCGAAAGGTTTAAAACCATACAACATAGACTCTCAGATACATTATTAATAAAAAAAGAATAATAGAAATACACAAATAAAATTTTATAAAATTGTGAGGTCTGAAAGCACAAAGTATAAACCAACAGATAATTTGTCACTACAATAAGACAATAGACCTTAAAAAAAAGGGTTCTTGGTTGACTTTACACTATGAAATATCAAACTAGTATGTGCCACAAAAGCATAACACCACAAAAGCCATCCAAAAGAACCCCTATAATGTTTTATGTCATCATAGACCTCGAGCTCATTTTCTATTAAGGCTTAAAACCACAAAACATGGACCCTTAGATGCAACATTAGTGAAAAAAAATAATATAAATACACAAATAAAGTTTTATAAAGTTGTGAGGTCTCAGAGCACAAAGTATAAACCAACGAATAATTTGTTACTACAAGAAGACTTTAGATTTAAAAAAAAAATGTCATTGGTTACATTTAAATCACATAATACTGAGTTCGTTTGTGTCAAGGAAAGATATCACCACAAAAGACATCCAAAAAAATAAATAAATAAAAAAGCTTCCCTAAAGTCAGCATGAAAGAATTAAGAATAAAATGAGGTAGGCCAAAAGTAACTTGACTAGAAGTTGTCCAAAACGGTTATCGATAAAATGGTCTGGACTCGAGTAAATGGGGAATGAAAGTTCATAAAATTAGCCTTAATAATTGGGATATGGCCAATGATAATAACCTAGTTATTCTTACATTTTTGCATGTGATTCCTACAACTTTTCAGGTTTCAGTTATCGTGATTAATATCGCACAATATGCTCAGCTGACCTATATTGAAAATCTTCATTAGATCTTCTTATTCACAATTTTGGTTCGATGATTGTGGTGAATCTAATCAATTTATTTTGGCTTCAGTGTGACTGGTATCCCATCAATCTATGGAAATTCAGGATGGAAATAAAGCCTCCTTAGAGATATACAATTACCGGGCTATCTTTTTGTTACCAAACAATCCTAACATTGCTCGAGCAATTTCCACGGTCAACCAGTCTCTATGCTGGATTGAATTGTTCTCTATGCTGAATTAAATTTTTTTTCCAGAATCAAAAGCAACTATTTACCTTCAAATGGTTTAATATGACTCTTTTCTGAAATTGTCAAAATCTTTGTTTACATGATAACGCATCGGGTTTGAAAGTGAATGCAGGTACTTGTTGGTTATTGTAACCATTTGCTCTGACGATTATACTATGTTGAAACTAATATTGAGGTGCTACTTTAGGGTTTGTTTGAGACATCTTTCTATCTGTTTTGTATTTCGGGCCATCACAAAAGCTGTTTTTTGTTAAATTGGCTTCTTGCTGCTTTCTAAAAATTTTTATAGTGAGAAGCTATTTTTTACGACTAGATCTATTAGAATGTGGTGGTTATAAGGAAACTCTTGTATGACATATTAGAAAAAATAAATATCTATAATTCATACCACTATTTTCTAAGAAGTTGTTTTTCCTCCTCTCAATTTTACAACCGCCTTTACAAATATTGTAACCGTTCCAAATGGACCCTTGAAGAAAATTTAAAACCTGATATCATTATAAAGTTCCCAGACCATAAATTCAGCTCCTCTTTTTTAAATTTATCAATAAGCATAAAGCATAAATGACATCATTCTTGAGCTTTTGAATGTTGTTTTCCCTTATATTGTGCATCAAACTTGTTGCATCATGTGTTATTTCTTATTCAAACAACCATTGCAGCTGCAGAAAATGAGATTTGATATGGAGAGGAAGAATTCTTCCTTCCTTTTCTACTAACATGTTAAGGATACAACTTTACAATTACACAAATAAATATAAATGTGTATCAACACTTATTCTAATTGTCTATCTATTTTAGAACGAGAAATAAGAAAAATGCATAATTGTAAACAATGGGTTTGTGAGTTTTCTCTAGTTGTAGCTCACATTGCTGCATCTCTACCTTCTTGAGTATTTATTGTACACCTCTATTGACTTATAACTGAAGCATGCCATTACTGTTCTTCATAATTGAGATACTGCAGAATTTGAATTCATACATGTAATATATATATATACACACATTGCAGTTATCACCACTCTCATGAACTTTGTTCGGATGTTCCGACGAGCGCATGAAGAGAATAGCAAGCTCGCGGCCGACGCAGAGAAGACAAAGACCCAAAAGAAATCTCAAATTAAGAATTCCAATAGATTGAAGTAATGTTTGACTTCAGTTCTTGCTCAGGAAAATAAATATTCACTATTTCTGGTATATTTTTTTTGCTAAATCAGCATTACTGTAGAGTTTTATTTATCATAACTGTAATTTACAATTCAAACTTTCTAAATTTCTTCTCATACCAGCTGCTGCTTCATCTACAGGTAACTTTTTGAAATCTTTGGGATCCACATAATACCAAGAGTTCTCTTCCAGCATTTCGTCTCAACTCTGTACAAAGCTGCCCTCACCATTCTTTAATTCTTTATATACTATTATTGTTAGTTTGTTTAGATGAGAGTAGGATTTAGGATTTGTTGGAATGTTCATTTTATTATTTATTTATTTATTTATTTATTTACAATAATTACTGAAGCAAGAACAATCATATTTCTGCATTTTTTTTTAATCCTTATCGTGCAATCGTGTAATTAAACACATATTAGTATCTAACTATATCCAATTAAATGATGATTTAAAAATTTTATTTATTTATTTATTTATTTCAAGACATGTCTTCAAACATCAACCAATTAAATGAGTACTTGGATGTTAACCATCATGTTAGGGGAATTTACATACATACCACCTAATTCGTCTACATCATCTAACACCCAGGCTTTGATCTTTACACCTGCAACATTTTGGTATCATAAATATATGCATGGAAATGTAAATGTGTGATTCACTTTTAAAAATATAACAATTTTAGTATTTTTGATGTGATGTTAAAGATTTAAACAGCATGTACGTAAAAATATGAATGTTTAGGTGTTAGATATGTAAATGATCTCTTGAGGACAATATGATAATGAGGGGCATTTCTGACCTCATCCTGCTAATTGATGTGAAGTTATATATACACTTTCACGTGCATGGATATGGTGGCATGTATGTAAATCTAATAATTGAAATTTAGGCGTTGTTTCCTAAATACAAAAAAAACTGAGTGGCATGTATGTAAATCTTATCCTTATTTCCTTGATACTAACCATTTGCAACCAAAGATTCCAGCTGCATATGTGAGCACATATTTGGCCTCGGTGGTTGCTGGCATGCAATTAAATACTAGCCTTTTATTTATTTCTTTATTTATTAATATTACAAATGACAAATTTCTATTTAATGTTGCCAAAATCCATACAGCAGAATATCTGTAAACTACAATCCTATTATTTAACGGATTATTTTATAATAATCCATCAATCTTTACATTTGGATCCACCCTTTCTATTTATTCCTTTTGAGCCTATATGAGGTTGATTTTAGAAAAATTATTCCATACGGAGATGCATACGCCGTCCTATCTCCATCGTTGATCAGACCGAAGTATTGATCAGACCAAAGTTATACTTCGGTTGGCCCATTTAAAAAAAAAAAATTTGAAAAAAGCTCTGATTAACTGGGGAGAGCGGAAGACGCATGCATCTCTACATATGCCGTCCGTATGGAATAATTCCTCTTGATTTTATTCCGTTTTTGTCTATATCGAGTATGCCCATCGTTGAACATGAAAATAAATAAATAAATCATATAATCTTGGAAAGGTGGGTTACCGTTTACCTAATATCTGTATGAACAGAACAAATAAATAAATAATTAATTAATTAATTAAAATTGATGACATTTGCTGTGCAGGGACTATGTCAACGAGTTCATCTTTTTGTTTAGCTCAATTTATAATTAAAAATTAAATTTTTTGAGCATTGGTGAAAGGAACAATCATGGCCGATGGGCTACAAATTCTAAAATATTAGATGAATTATTATGCTATTTTGTATATAAGATAATTTATTTATTTATTTATTATAATTCAATTTGTCGGTATTTTTATAATTTTCATATACGAGATAGTCGTATATGAGAGTTTCCATTGTTTGATTGGTTCACCTTTATTTTTTTTAAGGGAGAAATTTGTCATTCCTATTTTAGGAAGGTCTTTTTTGAAAATTATTATTATCTTTAAATTTTTTCATTTATTTAGTTCAGATTTATAAAAGTATCAAACTAGTTCATGAGATTTATTAAATTTAAATAATAAAATTTTTAAATTTTCTTCTTATAAATAATAAAATTTAAAACAAATAGTCCAACTATTTATTAAATTTTAATAGCAAAATTAACCCCCTTGAACTCCATTTACATTCACAAAAAAAAACTTTTTTTTTTTTTTTTTTTTTTTTTTTTGGGTTTAATGCTGCCCAGATACCTAATGAATTATCAAGCAGAACAAAAATGATAAATAACTGTTATGATGTCACTAGAGCTTGAAGATAATATAAATTAAAAAAAAACAAATATAAAAATAAAGTCAGAATTCATTGGAGAAAAATCAGGAAATTCATCTCATCAGCTTAGTGCACTATAACTAAAGATTTTCTCTGTTGTTCATAAATGATAGTTTCATATTTCATCAACCAAATTAGCTCTTTCTCTGCTATTTATTTACTGAGTTTATATAATCTGACAAAAGTGTAACCAACTGAATTATATAAAAGTAACATTTTTCTTACTTCAGATCCAAAAAAAAAAAAAAAAAAAAAAGCTTAATCTTTGGGCGGTTAAATCACAGCTTAACAGCATTAGAAGCCACACATATTGGAGAGAGATCAAGAGAGCTCCAAATCGACAATTCAACTTCAGTATTCAACGCCGCCGCCGCCGCAGCAGCAGCCGCCGCCGGCGGCTTCTTCATGTAAGAACTATAGGAGGGGGAGGAGGAAGAATTAGAAGAAGAATGAAGAATAGTCGAATAATCATTCTCCAAAGCTTCATTCTTCACCTCTAACCTCTCTGCAATCTCCTCCACTCTCTGTCTCTTACACGCCTTGCTCAAACCATAAAGCTGTTCGCTCATGGCCTCACCTCCTCCTCCTCCTCCTCCTCCCATCCTCCCCCCCAACTTCAGCTTCAAGCACTCCGAAATCCCATTAAAAGCATATAACGAAGCCGAAATCTTTCTCTCATACTTCATCCTCCTCATGGCGGCGCCGAGCATCGACGCGCCGTCATCACCGCCGCTCCATTCATCTTCTCCCATCCCCTCCGCAATCTCGAAAGGAGAGTAATAACTCCCTCCGAACTGATCGAAATCCATCTCATTTAAATCAACGCCCGTCTTCTCCTCCCCTTCCTCGTCCACCTCCCCTGAAACAACATCAGTGCTGTCACACGGCTCGTTTAAGAAATACTCGAATGGTATCTCGTCATTCCCGCTTTCTTCTTCTTCCTCTTCTTCCTTGACGAGGGGCTGAGGTTGCGGGTGGTTCTCGAATGGCGCGGGGGTTAAAAGGCCGTGACTTTGAGCTTGGGTTTCGTCGGCTATGGCGGAAACAGGGGATCTGGATTTAAGGCGGTGGAGGAGGAGGGTGGTGATGCGGGAAGGGAGGGCGTGGGTGGTGGTGGAAGGCCAGAAGTTGGTGCGGGTGTTGGCTCCGCGGAGAAGACAAGCGGCTTCATCGTAGGCGCGGGCGGCGTCTTCGGCAGTGTCGAAGGTTCCTAACCAAACTCTGATTTTTTGTATGGTGTCTTTTATTTCAGCGACCCAGCGGCCGGAGGGGCGTTGGCGAACGCCGACGAAGCGTTTTCGAGCTCGGTGGGTGGCGGTGGAGGGGGAGGAGGACTTGTCGGGATCTTCGGAACTGGTGGTCTTGCGCTTGCTGCCCATGGTTGGGTTGTGAGAGGGGCTGCCGGCGGTGGAGAGGTATTTATAAGGGGGGTTATAAGGGGGGAGGGGGGAGGGGGGAGGATGACATTTACTTGATTTATTATTATTTTTGTTGTTGTTAATATTTTTTTTTTAAATGGGATTTCTTTGGAAAACAATTGGAGGGATATGAGATATTTATTATTTTGGCCAAAAAAAAAAGGGGGGGCATTTTACATTGAGATCATTTGAAACTTTGGTATTTAGAAATTTATTATGCTCTTTCATCCATTTTTCAAGTTTTATACTGGAATATCAAAATTGACGGTAAAACTCTGAGCTAATTCTTTTTATTTTTGTTAAAATCTTAATATTTTGATTGTGGCATGCATAAATATATTGGTTTGGCTGTTCAAAAAGACTATCTGGATGGCTATTTTATAAATATTAATGTTTCAGTGGTTTGTATGTAGTTATACCAAATAAAAAGATATTGGGTTGGTATTTTTTTATTTAATTTAGGCTTTAAGTTTGAGTTAATATATTTTCTAAACTCTCTACATGAGTATTGAAAAATTAGAAAAGAAAAAAAAGTGTTATTATTTTTTTGGTGAATTAATTTATTTAGAAAACTATTTACTATTTAAAATATGTAAATTAACTTAATTCTAACTTTGATATCATTGAATTTGTCAACTTAGGTGAATGAAGTGATAGGGAAGCATTAGTTGTGAAATACATATGAATAAGCCAAAATTGATATTTAGATCAAACTTTTATTTATTAAGCATTGCAAGTCATAAATTTAGGGTGATCTCTCCTATTTTCAAATTATGTTTACATTAATTTTTAAATTTAATTTAATTAAGTTTCTTATAATTGTTGAATAAAATAATGAAGTAAGATAATTTAGCAATTAAGCTATTAAATTTTTATTTGTGTTCTTTATGGAAATGATGCATGCACTTGCATACATCATTTTAACTGGTCATATATCTGTTAATTTACCTCTGAAATGAAATACTTTAAATCATTTCTCACTCATATGACCTAACTTTGGTAGGTCTTATTATTTGTGCACTTGTAATTGTGTAGAGAGGAATAATCTTTGTTGCATTAAGCTAAACTATTGCCCATTGGGAAACCTTCAAAGTGTCTAATATTAAATTAATGTAGAGTCTTTCCTTAACAAGCTAACCTATACGGATTAGGTTTCTTTGATGATCAAAGTTGTGTCATTTTGTGTAACTTATTGATAGTTCTATTTATATTTTTTAATGCTCATAAAATGAATGTGTTCATCATCAATAAGAATGCCTTCATATTATTTTGGTTGTGTAATTTGCTATTAGTTTCTTATTAGAGGAAAAATGGAACCATGCAACCACAATCTAATCTTCATAATTCATTTAAAATGTTTACATTAAGAATCAATGCATATTGAATGTCCTAAGAGGAAACATTCATAAATTCTTCTTCTTTTTTTATTTTGATCTTGGTAATGTTTTTTTTTTTCTTTTTAAAGATAGTATTTCATTGGCTTTCCATGGTGCAACATCCACCAAGGCTATTTCTAATTTTCTCTCTTTTATCAAAGTTAAATTGGAGGATGGAGAAACTTTAATTATTTTGCAACATCAAATGTCTTCATTAAGCATAAGTTTTTGGCGTCCTTAAGCTTTAATTTGTTTTTTTTTTCATAAACACTAATGATTGACATTACAACTTACAGTCATATTTCATCTTTCAAGTAGTGACAAAAGTAAGCTCAAACAATGAACATCCTTTTAGAACCGATGTCTATTTAGCCCATTTGACTAGTAATTAAGTTAAAATGTGATCCATCATTAATACTTATCATGATGTTATAATACTGAAGAATGGGCACATAAGATTTACATTTATGACATCATATGAATTTTCATACAAAATAAATAATGCATCCATCATGCTTATAAAGGATTTTTTAAGAAAAATGCCATGGATATCATTTTTAATAATTGCCAAAAACTTATCATGTCTGGTTGTCCGCCAACGCCCAATTTCGTTGATTGAAAAATAATAATTTTATCCTCTAGGCGCTTTTTGAAACTTTTATTTGATAAAGATAATTTTTAATTTTAATCTTTTAATTATTATTGTCTTAATCATCAAATTGAATAATATTGACTTCTTCATCCTCCATTGCTTGCGTCTTAATATAGTTAATAACATCGATAATATTTGTTAGGATAACATACAAATAAAACCTTTAAAGAAGAAGAATCATATCAGAAAATAAAAAAATAAAAAAGGATAAAAAATATAGTTTTGTGAGAGCAACCTTCATCCATGACCATAGAGATGAAAAATCTACGAACATAGAAAAAAACATGTCAATATTTTCTTAAAATATATTGAAGATATACCCAAAAAAAAATTTATTATTATTATTATTATGATAGATTTTCTCCTCAGTGATTGGGGTACTCTTTTTGTCTATGTTGAACATTGGCTTTACTTTCTCTCATAATGAGCAAGAACCATTAAAGCCTCTCCCTCTTTTATTGATGAGAATAGTCTAATCTCATATTTCTTCTTCCTTTTTCTTTATTTTTTTTCCTTTATGCAAAACCCATCCCTTTAATAATCAATAATAATAATAATAATGCATGAGTTCCAAATCGAATAAGTAGCTGCAAAATCCATGACAAACTTACTAGATCATTGAAAATCAATAAAAGATCACATATCCTCAAAAAAATATTAAATCATATTTTCATAAATCTCATTCAAGTATTTACAATAAGTAAGAGATCTCAATATTATCTCATAAACAACTAAAGGGAAGAAAGAGTAGTTTTTAACCAAAATTAAACACTTAAAATATTTTGACTCAAAGAATTTTAATTGACTTATATGATTTTGCAATATTATTATAATAGTTCTAGGAGAAAAAATTAAAACATTATTTAAAATAAGGAGTCATGATAGTTATAAAAGACAAATGGACCTTAAAGCTCCAATCCTTAAGTATGATTTGGTCTTAAACCATTGCCAATGGTAATTAGAGTTTTGAAAGTTAAGGACACCAAACCACCCATTTAGTCGCAACATTTGTCCTTCATTGCACTGTTCCTTCCAACAACCAGCTCTCGTACGTTGATAGCTGATCCTAACACTAAACTATTATCGTTATTTATATATATATATATATATATATATATATAGTCAATATGATTTAAATTTTTGGCTTTAATCAAAGTTGAATTGAGTTTGACAAGTCATACTTTATATTTATCTTGATTGGATTGAATCAACTTCTAATCATATTTGACTAAATTTAACATTAGATCCAGTGATTTTGAGCTAATCATCTTGACTAAGGATCGAGTTCCCTCTACACTGTATCCATGATAGTTGTAATCTTTCTCCTTTTTTTTAGTTAATTATTCTGGCCAAGTTGTTAGAAAATTCAACATGATTAATTTTTTAAGGCGGGTTTAGGCTGACCCGTTAACTCAAAATTCACCTGAACTTGAATTGTTGAGCAAAAATCAACTCCAACCAACCCAAAATTACTCAAATTTAACCCAAAATTGACTCATAATTGACCCAAATACTACTATGTTGTTTGGGTTCGAATTTCTAACCCATTTAATATTCAAGATTTGGATGAAACCGTTCCAGGGCGGAGTAATTCGGATCAGAACTAAACCCGACCCATGACACCCCTATTATGTGTTGCAGTCACCAAAATTCATGTTGACTAAAGTTTTCCAATGCTTAATTTCATTTTAATATTGTGGTATGCATTTAATTTTTATTATCTTTAAGAATGTTAGAATGTCAAAAGTTTATGTTATATGATTAACATATGACAAGAGGTCACCCTCCATGCTTATTAATGATTTTCTTATCATTAAAAAAAAATTATATATATTTATAAATTAATTTATTTATCTAAAATAACTCCACATATTTATATTTGTTTTGTTTAAAAATGTAATTTATGAATTTTAGCCCCATTCGATTGCCATCTAAGTAAGCAAAATATCTGTAAATTTTAAATTTTACATTATTGAATTGCAATAAAGTTAACCTTATTTATTCAATGCCAAAACTATATTAAGATTTTCATTTCTAAAAATAAGACAAAAAATAATATATTTTTAACGGTCCTTTAGACAAAATATGTCTCATATGTTGGATCCATTTCTCGTAAGCATCGACAATCTTTATATAATATGAAATGAATTATAACAAGTCTAATCATGTTTGCAGTAGCATGTGACATGATAGTCACAGGTTTCAAGCACACGTATTACTCTTTGGGCTCACCTTATCAGAAAAAAAAATATATTTAATCATGTGATAAATTTTTTAGAGTAGTTCCTGTGATCCATATATGTATATTCATACTTGGCTAAGAATTTTCAAATTTAATTCAAAATTATATGAATTTTAATTTTAACAATTTTATAATTAAATGAAACGTCTCAATAAGAGAAAGCTAATAACATTTATAGTGATTATATATGTGATTAACTAAATCAAATCAAGTAATTAAAATGTGACTAAAATTTTTGGGGTATTAAAATTAATGGGTGGTTAGAAGATCTTTGAATCTTATGTGTTTGGTATTCAAATCAAGCATTTCGATGAGAAAAATCTAATAAGTCTAGAATCACTTAATTATGAGATTATTAAGACACTGTTTATATACTAAATAAATGGCCAATGATCAAATATTTAACACCTACCAACTAATTGGATATTTTTGGAACAATTAAAATGCCACTTTCAAAACTTAGAAATAGACTCATATTCTCCACTTTAAAAATGCTTAGGATTAAAAGTAGACAAAATTTTGACATCTGAAAAGCTTTAGAGTTGTGTGCATGGCCAAAGGTGACAACCCTCGCTAACAACCACAAAAACTCGATCATTATTATTTGATTATCATCTCAAAAATATCATTATTAAACCATCGTCACTTGATTGTCATTATACTACCATCATGGTCATACTACTATTATCTG